GGAGGTGTGCAGGGGACTTTGGCTTTTATGGGTCACTTCCCTTATGTTGTGAATTCTGATGTCACTGTGTGAAGGGGTTTTCATAGACAGAATAGTTATTACTATTTTTATTATTGTTATTGTTAAAAATAAATATCTTCTAATATTATTGTCCTAGAAAATATTAAGAGTTTTGATTAAACTGCTTGTTACTGTATATTATAAAATAGAAAAAGAAGGTCGGGGGCAGTGGCTCACACATGTAATTCTGGCACATTGGGAGACTGAGGTGGGAGGATTGCTTGATGCCAGCAGTTTGAGACCAGCCTGGGCAACATTGTGAGATCCCCTTCTCTACAAAGAATTTTTAAAAATTAGCCATGTATGATGACACATGCCTGTACTGCTAGCTACTCAGAAGGCTGAGGCAGGACGATACTTGAGCCCAGGAATTGGAAGTTACTGTGAGCTATAATCACACCACTGTACTCAAACCTGGGTAATGAAGCAAGACCCTGTCTCTTGATAAGAAGAAAGAGAAAGAAAGAAAGAGAGAGAGAGAGAGAGAGAAAGAAAGAAGGGAGGGAGGAAGGAAGGAAAGAAAGGGAAGGAAGGGAAGGAAAGGAAGGAAGATAGAAAGAAAGAAAGAGAGACAAGTAATTGTCTTAAATATATTAAAATTATACAAACTCCAGGAGTTGTTTCTTTTGGGCAGGCTTAGGAAAGACAGAACTGGAAATATCTCTGTGGCATAGAGACAGGAAGCCTAGGAATCACTCCCTGCCCCACCCCTGCCCAGATCCACCATTTTCTGAGCCTTGTCCAGGTCTGCCCCTTCCCTGTAAACTCCCCTCACAGGACTGATGAGCAGAGATCGGAGTTTTGGGTGGCTGCTCCTGTCCTCCATCCAGAGCTGGTGTTCACGATTTTTTGAAACATAAAAGCAGACACATGAGAACAAAGGTCTACATATTTTGATACATTATTTATTTATTTATAATTAAAATTAAATTTTAGATTATTAAAACTTTTTATTGAAATCAATGCTTTTAGAGATATGCCACCCAACATGTTTTCATTCCTAGAGATTCAGTAGTTACTCCATGAGTCAGAATTAAATGTAAAAGTAAAATGAAAAATTCCTCTGAACTGTAGTTCACCTTTCATTTCCATCCCTGCCATCTGTCTATATTTAGCTTTTATTCTATACATATTCTTTTTAAAAAGCAATGATAGAGAAATGGAAGAAGAAATTGAAAGCCTGAGCTCTTGATCTAAATCCTGGGAATTAGGCAACACTTAGTACCCAATTCCTAGGGTTTTAGGAGGATTAATTCATATAATGTGATGTTCCCAGCACGGTGCTCTGTAACATACTTGTGATCACATAGTACATGCTCAATAAACATTGCATTAATGTTAAGTACCTGTTATTTTCCAAATGCAGACTTAAACGTTGCTGCTTTCTCTAGCCTTTGGAAACTTTGAAGGGCCAGCAGACAATGCCATGGTTCAGGATGGGGATGGGTGGTCTTCACTTGGACCAAAGTGTCTGTGTTGTTTAAAAAGTGTTGGAGATAAGGGACTCTGTGCTGTGCCTGCTTCCTCAAGCTGAGTACTACTATAGCATAGGAGGAGTAACAGCGGCATTAACAGGGAAATTGTTAAACAAGCCATTTCATAGAGTCCCTCCAAACCTGCAAAATTTTAACCAAAATCATGTTCGACTCTTCACTGTTCAAAAGCCAAACTCAAGATCCAATAGTTGGGGGAAGGCAAAGCAGTTTATTCAAGGGCTAGCAACATGAGGAGATGGCCACTGTCGTGGACTAATGTTGCAAAGACCATTTCACGTTCCTCAGACTGACTGAAAGGTTTTTAAAGGGGCAAGGAGCTTGGGAGACTGTGCAGGAGCTGGCCGTGTGCAGGTCACCATGTCTTGTTCCAATGGTTACCTTGAATACTGGGCCATCTGGCGGTCTGGCTGATGTCAGCTAGACTGCAACAGAATTGAGGGCCACCTGCTCAGCATTTTTCCCCAGGGGGAGTTTGGCAGTCTTGGTTCTATAGTTAACACCTCAAGACTAGTTCCTGAAATTCTTAAGCAAGCACATAAATAGGCATCGTAAGAACATAGTGATTATTTGCTTTGAGATGGAGTGACTGCCACTGTTACAGAATCTCATTAGAGTGGCCTTGAAGAACAAATGATTTCTATGCACATTTAAACTCGAGAGGCGATCTTTAGCCAAGTGGTTCTCAGCACAGGCTTCCAATTAGAATCACATGGCCAATTTGAAGAACCACCATCACCTGTGCCATCCTCACAGATTCTATTGGTCTGGGTGGGAGCATCCATGTGGTTTCAGTTAAGTGCCCCAGGTGATGCTAAGGTGAGACCAGGGTTAAGCATCAGGCCTCTCGGATACATTCATGAATGTTGAGTTCAGCCGTTGTCCAGAGGGAAGTAACGGCCTGCTCTGCATGGGTTTGATGGGGGCAGGTCAGCACGGCCCATATTCCCATTGCTGTAGTAGAAACTGCTGGTGTCTGTGGCAGGGGAGGGCACCTGAGGGCAGGAAAAGAGAAACTCACACTTCTGTTCTCTATGTAGAAGCTCCTTCCTGACTCTTGCCTGTGATGAGGGACAGGGAGGGGTAGATTTTTGCTGCACTTCAAGGTCCCTCTGCCTGTGGATGTGGTGGTAGCAGGTGAAGGGGTTGTGCCGATGCCTTTAAAGAAATATTATCAAGAGGCAGGTGTAATATGTCCAGATAATCTCGCCTGAGAAGAAAATCAAAAGGAGGAGGAGGAGTAACAGGAAAAAAGGCTGGTTCTCAGGTAAATGTGTCCCAGTTCAGGGGCTGTGTTCAGTTTTTCTCCTGGAATGCCATGTGCTTGGAACTTGCAAACCTTTACTTCTCTACTTGTGATGTTTCTGCAAATGAGTTTGTTTCAACTGCTCTTGTCCTTTTCTTCTGATAATAGCCAAAAGACTCTGTAAAATCTTTCTCCCCTATATAGCAGAGTCTTATCTCCATTCTCCCCATCCAGGCGTCTTTTATGCTGTGAAAAACTCTCATCATAAGTTTATGACCTGCAGTATTTAAAGTGTTCCCTTTGTGGCTGTTGAACATGGGAAAGTGTGGATGTCCAAGATTCCTGTTGGGGATGAGGTCAGGTCCTTGGATTTCAGTGAAGAAGAGGAATATGCACTGTTGAGGTTCCATCTGGATGCCCCATCAGCTCTATGTAGAACAAGATGAAGTATATGCACTCTTAAAGAAGATGGCATTAATTGCCTGGAATAACCCAAAGTTCTGAAAAAGAGAAGAATTAGAAGAGACTTGCTTTCTAGGATGCTTAAAAAGACTATTTAAATGCACTGTAGAGATTACAGAACATGGGAGATATCTGAAGCTTGAATTTTGCTTAGAACATTTGATCCAGCAATCCCATTACTGGGCATCTACCCAAAACAACAAAAGACATTCTATAAAAAATACATCTGCACTCGAATGTTTATAGTGGCACAATTCACAATTGCAAAGATGTGGAAACAACCCAAGTGCCCATCAATACATGAGTGGATTAATAAAATATGGTATATGTATACCATGGAGTACTATTCAGCTATAAGAAACAACAATGATATAGCACCTCTTGTATTTTCCTAGATAGAGCTGGAACCCATTCTACTAAGTGAAGTATCCCAAGAATGGAAAAATAAGCACCATATGTACTCGCCAGCAAATTGGTTTCACTGATCAACACCTAAATGCACATACAGGAATAACAGAACTGGTGTTTCTTCATGACTAGATTCAGATTACAGTTTATTTTTGGGGGGCCGCTGCTGTCATAACAGTGATGTGTCCACCTTTGTGAATCAGCTCCTGATACTCATTTGTCCTATTAAAATTGGTATTAATTTTATTCACTCAGTTAACGTGCTCCTTGACAGATTTTCCTCTATAGAGTTAATTATTTTTCTCTATTATTGATACATACTTTGGGGAAGATTTACCAACTGATGTGCATAAGCCATCACATTTGATGTGGAAGCTCCCCTTTCTTAGATTCTCTTTCATATAGCTTGCTTTGGAAAATGAAGGCTCTCATCTTTGTTTATTGGTATAATAAACCAGAATAAACCCAGCCTCTACCACTTACTGGCTGTTTGGAAAAATATTCTCATGGGCCAAAAGCGTTGGCATCCCTGATGAGATTGTTAGAAATTCATGAATGTAGAGGACATTTTGTCTGGGAACGGTTCCTTGTTGTTTTTCTCAGAACATGCCTGTGGGCTTGCACGCGAGTCCAGGGCGCCCTGACCTGAAAACAGAAAGGGCTAGAGAGTTCAGAATGAAAACATCGGCTCTCCAGAGACGAAACAACAAGGAACGGGATGTGCTGAGTTGGGACAGTGTGGGAACAAAGAAATTGTGGTGGGACAGTTGCCAAACAGGCTGTGTTAAAAATAAAGACGCTGCAGCAGGAAGATACTGCAGTCTTGTACCGTCTTTGTGTGTGTGCATCTCTTTGTCTCTGTGTTCATTCCTCGTCCCTAGAAATGGGCCACGACCCATGAATTCAGGGTTTACCCCATATCTTCCAAATAAAAATCTGCATTTTAATGAAATCTCCAGTTCATTGTTGTCCGTGTTAAAATTTGAGAGATCTCTTCTAACCCACCATGACTTTTCCATACAGGAAATATGTACAACTTATCCTGTATGATGTAAATAAAGTACTCAAAAATGTACATGCTTGTGTTGGTAGCCCTATTTGTATACTGTGCCATCCAAAAAAGTAGAGTATGTACACTGGTTTTGTGTATGCTATGACATCCGTTTTCCTCAGTGTTATAGAATGTATTAGGAGATATTTCTTTGTTGAAAATTACCTCACTGGATAATTCCTGTCACTCATATAAGTCAGAATCGGTTGTCTTCACTCTCATTTCACCAGAACTGAAATTAACTCTCCCCATGCAGCTTAGTAAATATGTATTTTTTCAGGGACTGCTGACCTTCAGAGATGTGGCCATAGAATTCTCTCTGGAGGAGTGGGAATGCCTGGACCCTGCTCAGAGGAATTTGTATAGGGATGTGATGTTAGAGAACTACAGGAACCTGGTCTCCCTGGGTGAGGATGACTTCAATATGCAATTCCTATTCCACGCTAAGGATTTCCTATCCTTTCTTTGTAGAATGCTTTCAGGGAGCTTCTGATTTGCATCAGTGAGCTTTTCATCCTTGTTTCCAAGGGAAACTTAGGGATTAGTTGGTATAGATAATAAAATATTCAAGATATTTTATCTTAACATTTATCTTTTCCTTTCTTGAGCTGATTTGTATCCTTCAATCTTGATTAGTGGTAATTTCAGAAATTTAGTGGCATAAAATAATGTTGCCACAGCTTAAAATCCAATTTCTACCACCAATTTTTCATTCAGTAATACTGGGTACTGGAACTAAGAACCCAAAAATGTTAAATACTTCCTGAATATTCTAAAGTTTCTCTAAGAAAACAGTTTGTTATGGAGTAATTTTTTCATAATCTTCTAAAATGTTATTTTTTTCTAGTGAGCACAATACTAGATTGGTAATTGGAGAATCCCAACAAAAATTCACATTACTTTTTTCTAATAAAACAGGTCTTGCTGTCTCTAAGCCAGACCTTGTCACCTGTCTGGAACAAAGCAAAGAACCCTGGAAGGTGAAGACACACAAGACAGTAGCCAAACACCCAGGTAGGTGGGAGTGAATAAAGGAGATAATACAGGTGAGAGGTCCAAGTTTAAGGTGGAAGCCAGACCTTAAAATGTGGCCTGTAGCAGCTCTGCTCCAGTGGAAATGGTTTCTGAGAAGCCTGGGTTTCTTTCTCCTGTTCTCACATAAGGGCATCTCTGTTCTTATTTTTAAATTCTCTAAGGATCCTCTTCAGTGATCTTCCTTCCAGGTTATAGTGGGAACCAAAGTGCTGTCGATGGCTTACAAGAGACTGCAGGATCTGACTGCTCTCCCATTGCTTTTAAGGACATGGGAATATCTATATATTTCTGAGGACCTCTCTGTGAAACGATTTTTAAATTTCTCTGTAGCATCATTTATGAAATGTCAGAGTGAAGTGATAATGTTGGTATTTGGTTCAGAAATCCCAGGAATATCACAAATAGATGTGGTATGTTTTCTGCTTTATAGTTTTCTATACTGTGGAGGTTTCACATGTGATTCTACAGAAATTCATACTCAGTAATTTAATCAGAATAGCAAGTACCTCCCTAAATATAATTAAATATGATGTTTTACTTCAAAATTCTGGGTTTTTGTTATGTGAACTATGATAAATACTTTAAACTCTATGTGTCCTAGTTTCCTAACTTTAATATAGTTTCAGGTATTTACTCCCCATCTTTCTTAAATATACTATGTCATTAGCCCAGCTATATTGCTGAGCATATATTAAACTCTCACTTTGTACTTATTTTTATAAGAACTATAATTTTATAATTTTCTCTTGTTTATGATAAAGCTTACCAGGACTGTGGCATTCGTGTATGTATGCATACTTATATTCATATACATATATGTACACATATACACACATGTATATGTATGTGTATGTGATGTTTTTTCACAAGAAAAATTTGTATAAGTGTATAATTGTGTATAATGTAATTTTATATGCATATAAATTGTGACATGATCAATAAAATCAAGTTAATGAACATATTCTTCCCTTCATAATTTGTTTAGTATTAAGACTTAAGGTCTACTGTCTTAGCAAATTTTATGATACAAAATATTGTTATTAACTATAGTCACAGTACCATATATTAGGTCTCCAAAACTTATTCATCTTATAACTGAAAGTTTGCAACCTTTGAACAACATCTTCTTATTTTCCCTACCCCAGGCCCTGACAACCACCTTTGTACTCTCTTCTCTGAGTTCAACTTTTTTGATTTCCCATTTAAGTGAGATTGTGCAGTATTTGTCTTTCTGTGACCAGCTTATTTCACTTAGTGTAATGTCCTCCACGTCCATCTATGTTGTTGAAATAATATTTTCATGGCTGAACAAAATTCTGTTGTGTATATGTACACCATATTTTCTTTATTCATTCATTATTCATAAACATTTAGGTTTTCATATTTTGGCAATTGTGAATAGTGCTGCAATGAGCGTGAAGATGTGGATATTTCTTTGACATACTGATTTTATTTTCTTTTGCTATATACACACAATTGGGACTACTGCATTGTATGGTTGTTCTTTTTTCTTTTTTAAAAATATTTTCCATACTGGTTTTCATAATGAATCTAAATGTACAACACACCAACACTGTACAGGATTTCTTTTTCTTCACATCTTTGTCAAAACTTGTTATCTCTTCTTTTTGATGTTCACTGTCCTAACAGGTATAAAGTGATAATCGCATCATGATTTTGATTTGCAATTGCCTAATGATTGGTGATGTTGAGTACCTTTTCACATAACTGTTGGTCATTTGTATTTCTTCATTGGGAAACTATCTTTTCAGTCTTTTGCCTATTTTTTTTTTTTTTTTTTTGAGACAGAGTCTCACTGTGTTGCCCGGGCTAGAGTGCC